AGTGTCACCCCTATAATCTATCCCAATCAGTATCACATATACTGACCATTTTGCTCAAGTACTGTGCTGTGTTATATTTTCAAATTCTGGCCACACATAAGGTAAGTCACTTTAGTAAAGCAACACTCCCATCATTCCATCGTGGAGTTCACAAATTTCCTTGGGGATCCATAGCATATCAGGATGATCCAGGGAGACTCCCAGATTACAGTGTCAAATGCCTTTGTCTAGTCAACGAAGACAAAGTAAAGAGGTTGATTCTGCTCAAGGACAAAGTATGCATTTTGGCTGTGGGAGGTTTTTTTCTTTTTCTTTTTCTTTTTTTGCTATTTTAAACATTTTATTAGATTATAAAATAAAATACAAAACTACAAAAGCAAATAGGAGCAGTGGGGAGGAAAAGGGGAAAGAAAAATGAGGAGGGGAGGGTGAAAAAATGCATTGATTTCTGAGGCCCTCTGTTGCAGTAAAATAAAGCATTAACACTGAACCTCAACTTTTTACTTTTCCATAATGATATAAACTAGCCATTTCTATAACAACAAATCAATCTAATCAATAAAACCTAAAATCAAAGTTTCATTTTTTTCCACCTCAAGCATGTACAATTGTGTATAGGGGTCTCAGATACTCTCTCACAGAGGTGTTTGGAGGAAATTGTTCAGTGTCTGTCGGGAAAAACTACCACACATGTGTGACGGGAACCTTTATCTTTACCCAATTCCTGCAAACATTCTTCATATGTTTTAGCCTCCAGTCCCCTGATCACCTTTGTCATAATAATATGGTGACCAAACCTGGATGGAGTATTCTAAGTGTGGTCTTACTGCTTTATAAAGCAGTACTAGTACTTCACCTGACGAATACTAATACTTCACATGACAAAGGGTTCAGAGCAGGACATATCTTGTCGATTTCCACCCTAGACAAGTATTGACCACATTTTCACTAATCCAGGGACCCTGAGGACACAGACAAACCTCCAAGTGGCCTCAACGACTCTCTAAAAGAATGCAGATGACCAGATGTTTATAAGGAATATACTGTAAATCCTTCCATTCCCCACCATCCGGTCAGAGTTGAAAAATCTTTTTGGTTGAGAAGCAAAACGTCTTTAATGAAAAAAAAGCAAGAAAATCCAGTTGCCTCTGGAGAAAGCACCTGGATGTCTGACAATCTCTTTTTTTTTTATTAGAGGGAAGATGGGATGATGGAGGGAAGATATATGTTTGACAATCTCTATCGACATTAACCCTAAAGAAAAGAGATGAACTAGCACAACATCATGCTACACACCCTAAATATATCGGATGGTAAATTGTATACAAGGCCCCAGAGAGGTTAAATTAGGCAAGGATGGATGCACAACCAACATCCAGTCCTCAGCAGAGATCATGAAAAAGTATGACGAGTGTCCTTTCAATCCCATACTTGGGCTCAATCCTGACTGAGAGGTATCTATCTACTTCTTTCAAGGCCCTCTGAAGGGTCTCCACAATTATATTTTCAATCGCTTTCTGTAAAAAAGTTGAAGTTAGATATCAGAAAATTGATCAGTATGATGGGAACCAGAAATGTTTCCTTGAGGAGGGAGTAAATCAAACCTGTGTATGAGGTCAAGGAATAACCTACTGCTGGGACCCATTCACATGGCATCACCAAGTCCACTTTCACAAGCCAGGAAGGGCATGGATCTAAATAGCAAGAGGCCAACTCAGTGGTGAAATTCAATTATTTTTACTACTGGTTCTGTGGGCATGGTTTGGTGGGCGTGGTAGGGAAAGGATACTGCAAAATACCCATTCCCTCCCCACTCCTGGGGGAGGGCTATTGCAAAATCTCCATTCCCATCCCACTCTGGGGTCAGCAGAGCTGGTATTTGCTGGTTTTCCAAACTACTCAAAATTTCTGCTACTGGTTCTCCAGAACCTGTTAGAACCTGCTGAATTTCACCCCTGGGTCGATCTCACAGCCCTGAGGACCCTATCTGCTTTCTGAGGTCCAAGAGTTTCAAACTGTTCTCAAATAACCAGGCATGATGCCTCCCCAGATAACTCCTCTGGATTTGCAACAAGCTGGAATCCAGGTGCAAACAAATCTAAAAGACTGTCCAACAGATGCTGAACAATTTCCTCCAAACACCTCTATGAGAGGGTATCTGAGACCCCTATACACAATTGAACATGCTTGAGATGGGAAAAAATGAAACTTCT